TCCCCGCATGTCCCCTGGCTCCTAGCTGAGGTCTTGGTACATGATGACTTGTGTGCCCATCGCCCTTGACGTGCGCCTGCCTTTTGCTGCCCAGGTTTGCTGTGCCACCTCGATGACGCCTGCATCAGCAACCCCTGCAACGAGGGCTCCAACTGCGACACCAACCCCGTCAACGGCAAAGCCATCTGCACGTGTCCTTCGGGGTACATGGGACCGGCCTGCAACCAGGACGTGGACGAGTGCTCACTGGGTGAGCACCGGGGCTGAGCTCGCGCGGGCGGCAGAGGAGCAGCTGGGGAAAGCGCCGGGGCAGCTGGGAGCGTGTCCTGTGAGCTGCGCTTGTGTGTTGCAGGAGCCAACCCTTGCGAGCACGCAGGGAAATGCATCAACACCCAGGGGTCCTTCCAGTGCCAGTGCCTGCAGGGCTACTCAGGCCCTCGCTGTGAGATCGACGTCAACGAGTGCCTCTCCAACCCCTGTCAGAACGATGCCACCTGCCTGGACCAGATTGGGGAGTTCCAGTGCATCTGCATGCCCGGTGGGTGGGCGACCCCACGGACCCCTGCCCCAGTGCTGGGTGCGAGCGGTGGGAGGGCTCCGGGTGCCCCTGAGCTTCAGCTCAGTGTTGGTTTGGGTGAGGAGCCACGGGAGGTGCATGTGCCTGGGGACAGCACCGAAAAGAAAGAGCTTGGTAAAGATTGCGTGGTCTCCCGCAGTGGTGTGGGGACGGGAGGTGAGAGTTGGGCACCATCAGCCCTGCTCTGGACTCCTCCTCTTGCCAGCCTTGCTGGTTTGGATCAAGCCAAGGGCAGGGAGATCCAGGGTGGACAATCATGGAGCAGCTTATGCATCAGGTCCCACCACCTGAAGCACAGCTCCTGAGCTGTCTTTGTAAAGACGGGGGGACCAAACGTGCCCTGGTGTAACCTGCCCGTCCTGTGCGTTGTGCCGGCCCTGTGCCACAGCGCTGACGGTGCGCCGGGTCTCTCTGCAGGTTACGAGGGGGTTTACTGCGAGATCAACACGGACGAGTGTGCCAGCAGCCCCTGCCTGCACAACGGCAACTGCCTCGACAAGATCAACGAGTTCCATTGCGAGTGCCCCACCGGTACGCGGCATCCATCCCACTGCCGTCGTGATGGAAACAAAGCCGTGATGCATCCTGGCTCGAGCCGGGAAGGAGCTGAAAATGGGCTCCTTAAATTTCAGAGCCCCCCAAAATGGGGAGAGAGGGCTAAGCACCTCTCAGCGCTTTTGGTGGGGGGTTCCCCCATTGCGGCGAGAGGCTGAGCCCTGTGCAGGCGATGCTGCTCCAGGTCCAGCCCATGGGAGAGGGGAAGGAGGATTAAACCCCACGGCTTTGCACTTGAAAAGGCCCCTCTTTGGGAAGGAGGGCCAGGAGCCGGGAGGGGAGGGGGGGCTGAGGGGGGGGCCGCACCAGCGGCTTTGAATGTGGTGTCAAAGTCACGGGGTGGGGCGGGGAGTGGGGGGGCGGGTAATGTGTG